GTCATGCACGCCTGATAGACTGGTGATGGATATATATTTTTAGTTTATTTGATTAAGTGTCTTTAAAAAAATCATAATATGGTTAGTGCCTGGAATCTGATTACGTTTGATTGTTTTTTGAAAGAAGGATAGTATTTGATATGCGTCTGTCATTGTATTCGTTTTACTTTCCTCGTTATGTGGGCGTGTATTGGTATTTTCATCTCTCCAAGAAAGAGAGTTTACAATGACATATGAAATCATGAACGGAATGAATAAATACAAGGAATGATTACATCTATCTGAACGTTTCTTTGTTTAGAAATCAATAAGATGCTTAGAGAAAGACGGACGAAGAGAGACATGCACCTTTCACACTGCCCTGCCTGGAACAACTGCGCCCAGGCCTTCTGCGTGAGCCAGGGCGCGGGCGGTGCCCCCTGGGGGTTCATCAGCAAGCCTCTGCCTCCTCGCAGTAAGAATTTCCACACGTCCTCAGCCATTTTATTCTGCAATGGTCGCATATAAATACACACACAGACATACATAGGTATGAAAATATGTGCGCGCGCGCGCGCGCGCCGCGCGCGCGTGTGTGTGTGTGTGTGTGTGTGTGTGTGTGTGTGTGTGTGTGTGTGTGTGTGTGTGTGTGTGTGTGTGTGTGTGTGTGTGTGTGTGTGTGTGTGTGTGTGTGTGTGTGTGTGTGTGTGCGTGTGTGTGTGCGTGTGCCAGCGCGTTTACATATGCACTAGTGTTAATATGGATATGTTTAGGAAAACTAATGCAAGGTTTTGACTGTATTAACATCTACAGTAAAGAGACAAAGTAAATGAAAGGCGGGTAGAAGAACCCGTAGAGTTTATATAATTACGCGCGTTAAACTCTACGGATTTTCACTGCACGTTTCATTTACTACTTCACTTTCCGTGTGATTATCTAATTGCGTTACAACTAGCAAAGCAGATGGAAATAGATGAACTTGATCGAAAATAATAGTAAATCCTTTGAAGTCGACGGGATGCTTCACTTCCTTTTTCATTCAACTTGTGTTTGACTACCATAACCCTAGGCATTTCGACACATACACACATAATATATATATATAAATTACAAACAAAATTAAACACACAAATTGACAAAAATGTAAAAGTAAAGAATCTAAAAGGCATTATTTTTTGTTCATTAACTCTACGGACTCTTCACATGAGTTTTAATTTATTTCTGTTGCTAGCATGAACAACTTTATGTATCTCAATACGTGTGCGCCTAAACACATCACATACATATTTGCGTATAGAGAGTATACAGTTTTTAGATGTGTTTGTGTGTACCTATGTATGTATGTGTGTGTGTGTGTGTGTGTGTGTGTGTGTGTGTGTGTGTGTGTGTGTGTGTGTGTGTGTGTGTGTGTGTGTGTGTGTGTGTGTGTGTGTGTGTGTGAGTGAGTGAGTGAGTGAGTGAGTGATTGAGTGAGTGAGTGAGTGAGTGAGTGAGTGAGTGAGTGAGTGAGTGAGTGAGTGTGTGTGTGTGTGTGTGTGTGTGTGTGTGTGTGTGTGTGTGTGTGTGTGTGTGTGTGTGTGTATGTATGTCTGTGTGTGTATGTATGTCTGTGTGTGTGTATGTCTGTGTGTGTGTGTCTGTGTGTGTCTGTGTGTGTGTCTATGTGTGTGTCTGTGTCTGTCTGTGTGTCTGTGTGTGTCTGTGTCGACCCATCCATTCCTTCCCTCTACCTCTTCCTTTACCTCCGCCTGCTGGATCCTCACACACAGCATGAAAGAGAAGAGCAGTTTGTCCTTCTCAAACAAGGACCGAGTGACGGAGAGGAACACAGCCCGGGTCAAGTGGGTGTTCAGCAGGGTGATCCTTCGAGATCTCTTCCTGACAAGAGGACCGAGGTCAGGGAGCATTCTTAATATCTCTTTGCGTTCTCAGGATTTTAAAGTGATCGGAAATATTGGGGTGAAAGAGTATGCGTGGGAATTGGTCGTCTCGTCTAAACTAAGTCAGTTGAATTTTTAAAGACTTTGAATCTCTTATACTAGTTCTTCTATTTAATCTGTTTGTCTACCAATTTATCTACCTTTACCGATGTCTGTCAATTTATTATCAAATTATCATCTATGGCACGCCTTCTCTTCTGTCCGCATTCTGCAAATCCTAATATCTAAGGCAACATATGAGCATGTATGGACTAAACATTACTTGATGTATGTGTGTCTAGTCTGTCTGTCTCCCTGTCTGTCTGTCTGTCTGTCTGTCTGTCTGTCTGTCTGTCTGTCTGTCTGTCTACTTGTATCTCTGATTATATGTATGACTATGAATATATATGTCTGTATCTATGACTCAATGCACACAGTGTATATGATTATGTTTAACTACGTATGGCATATATATTCCTGTAGCCTATGTAAGTACAGCCTACGCCTTCTACAGACCGCGCCGCACTCACCCGACTAGAAGACATGATATCGATAGCCTTCTCGTCCTCCAGCAGATTCTGCCCGGCGGTGGACAGCACCTC